TGTTTCAAGTCCTCTTCACTTCCACTGAGCAAAGCTGTGTCATCTGCACATCACAGGTTATTAATGAGTCTTCCTCCAATCCCGATGCTGCGTTCCTCTTCATATAGTCCAGCTTCTCAGACAATTTGCTCAACATACAGATTGAATAAGTATGGAGAAAGGATACAACCCCGATGCACACCTTTCCTCATTTTAAACCACTCAGTATCCCCTTGTTCTGTTCGAACGACTGCCTCTTGGTCTATGTACAGGTTCCTCATGAGCACAATTAATTTCTGGAATTTCCATTCTTTGCAGTGTTATCCATAATTTGTTAAGAGTCACACAGTTGAATGCCTTTTCGTAGTCAAGAAAACACAGGTGAACATCTTTCTGGTATTCTCTGCCTACAGCCAGGATCCATCTGACATCAGCAATGATATCCCTTGTTCCACATCCTCTTCTGAATCCAGCTTGAATTTCTGGCAGCTCCCACTTTTGAATGATCTTCAGCAAAATTTTACTTGTGTGTGATATTAATGATAGTGCTCTTTAATATCTGCATTCTGTTGGATCATCTTTCTTTGGAATGGGCATAAATATGGATCTCTTCCAGTCGGTTAGCCAGGTAGCTATCTTCCAAATTTCTTGGCAGAGACGAGTGAGCATCTCCAGTGCTGCATCCATTTGTTGAAACATCAGAACTGATATTCTGTCAGTTCCTGGAGCCTTGTTTTTCACCAAGGCCTTCCATGCAGCTTGTTCTTCCTTTTGTTCTTTTTTTTAACACTTTTTTCTATTATAGTAAAAATAACCGCTTACCCACTGTGCCACCAGGGCTCCTTACCAATAACATAAAAAACCAAAACCCGTTGTCGACAAGTTGATCCCGACTCATAGTGACCCCACGAGACCCCAACTGCCCCACAGGGTTTCTGAGGTCGCTATCAGTGGGAATTGACTCAACGGTGGGTAATCTTTAGGACAGCAGATGGCCAGGTCTTTTCTCCCACGGAGCCGCCGGGTGGGTTGGAACTGCTGACCTTTAGTTCGTAGTGCAGCGCTTACCCACCTGTGCTCCTTACCAGTCACACGGCAGAGGTCACGTATGCCCCGGAGCACACGGCTCATACCGAGCGCATGAAAAACACTCGTGAACTTAGCGTAGTTTTCCTGAAGAAAGGTTACAACCGCAACTTTTGCTGACTGGGGTTTTGGATCCCACTGTCCTCACACTGCCCTCTGCTTCATAAGATACTGCCTTTCCAATTCCAAATGTGCGGGTGAAGGGTCATTGTGTAAGAAAATTAGGCCAAATGAGAGCATAGGAGCTTTTTAACTACTTCCTTTGGGTTTACATAATTATTGTATTTCCCCCCAGATCAGTGCCCTCTGTGGTGACCAGCTATAACTCGATTGCCAAGTGTGGAACGTCTTGTTAAATGGACTTCCTTTAAACCCCTAATTTATTTACTTTGATGGCTTGGTGGTTCATTTGGTCTCAACAAGTACTCAGCGTTGGCTATGAACGCCTACAATTTTTTCCCCATTGTTTTGAGACAAAGTAATCAGTTTTCTGACTTAGTTAACTAAATCTCAAAATCTCAAAAAAATAAATCTCAAAAGTTAAGCAATCACTGTATACATCAAGTTTAAAGAAGTTTTTTTTTTTTCTTTTTCCTAAAACCAATATATTTTTCCCCGCAGAATCTAAGGTCTGTTTAAATTATATAAAGCGTTTTTTTTTTTTTTTTTCATTTTAAATCTCCTAGATGATTACTTAAATGTCATCCTTGCTTTTAGGAAATTTTTTCCTGGAATCTGAGAGGGAGAACTGAAATGGTAGCAGATGTTCAAGTTCCAGAGGGAGCAGGGAGCCTAGTTATTCAGCAAAGTGGGACCATGTGCGCAAACGCACCAAGCAGGTTGAGGGGACAGAAAGTTCTTGCCAAGATATGCCGTTTGGAAAACGAGCAAACTAGTTTTCCAAAGGTAATGGCCAGGAATTTTCTTAATTTTGTTTCTTCACCCCACCTGCACCGGGCCATCACAAGTGTGAGGCATTTGGGTTGGAATCGGGGGTGAGAGCTCATGTTGTTTCCAACAGCGTTGCAGCTGTTCCTGCATTATGAGCCAAACGTGCTCAAGTTCACAAAGTAATCTCAGAGCAAATAGCCGCATCCTGCTGGAGCCAACTGCTGGGATGGGAATTCCCTCTCCTAGCCTCCTCCGAGACTGGGTTCTGGCGTGTCTTCCTCCGGGAAGCCTTCTGTGGCTCCCTCCCCACAGAGGCGTGCAGAGGTCTCCCTTTCCCTGCCTATACCTGTCTGGTCCCATCAGGCCCTGGAGGGCAGGACCTCCCATATTCACTATTGTATCCTCAGAGCCTAGCAGGCGGTGATCTCCCTGATTAAAATGAATTTAGAAATATAAAATGGTTATCTGCCTTCATGGGGAGACCCGAGTTGGATTCCTGGCCAGCGCACCTCCTGTGCAGCCACCACCCTCGGTCAGTGGAGGCTGGAGTGTTGCTGTGATGCTGAACAGGTTTCAGCAGAGCTTCCAGACTAAGACCAGGAAGAAAGGCCTGGTTATCTACTTCTGAAAATCAGTCAATGAAAACCCTACGGCTCACAACGGTCTGATCTGCAGCTTATCATGTTTTGCTCCAATGTGCGTGGGGTCGCCATGAGTCGGGGCCGACTCCACAGCAGCCAATCACAACCAGTCTGTAATCTATGTATCTCTTTCCTCGATGGCTCTTAATGAGCTTTCAAAGGCCACCTTTCAAATTCAGACTTCCTGGTTTACTCTGTGCGGTTGTCTGTCTCAGTCTTTCCGGGGTTAACATACAGGTGGACACTTTGTGGACCACGGCTTTAATGAGCATGCTGGTCTGCCACCAGGATAGGCTGGCTTGTCCCCTTCCACCCTGCACACCCAGGGAAGACGCCGTGACCTAGGTGAGTGACTCTGGGAAGGCCACTAACTCAGATTAGCAGTCGTTACCATGATGATGTACATGTTGCCGTCTTTGACAGCACTCACAAGGAGCCCTGGTGGCGCAGTGGTTAAGTGCTCAGCTGCAAACAGAAAGGTCAGTGGTCAGAACCTACCAGCTGCTCTGTGGGAAAAAGATGTGGCAGTCCAGTCCCGTAAAGATTAAAACCAAAAACCAAACTTGTTGCCGTCAAGTCGATTCTGACTCACAGCGACTTTACAGGACTGAGTAGAACTGCCCCATAGGGTTTCCAAGGAGTGGCTGGTGGATTCGAACTGCCGACCTTTTGGTTAGCAGCTGACTGTGTCCATGTCTGTGCCCGTGTCTGTGTCTGTGCCCGTGTCCGTGTCCGCGTCCATCTTGTATTCTGGCAGTGAGAGCCATTAGGCCTAATCACAGGGCTTCAGGTTCCTCGTCCGTCGATGGGATAACAATACTGGTTTCTGTTGTTGTTGTGTGCAGTGAAGTTGATTCCAATTCACAGTGACCCCACGTGACAGAGTAGAACTGCCCCATAGGGATTCCTAGGCTGTATCTTTACAGGTATACAAATACTCACATACTTTGGACATGTTAATCAGTCCTTGGAGAAGGACATCATGATAGGTGAAGTAGAGGGTCAGTGAAAAAGAGGAAGACCCTCAACAAGATGGACTGAGGTAGTGACTGCGACAATGGGCTCAAGCATAGCAACGATTGCGAGGATGGCGCAGGACTGGGCAGTGTTTTGTTCTGTTGTATGAAATGTCCTGTTGTACAAAACGTTGCTATGATTCGAAATCAACTCGACGGCACCCAACAACAATGACAATAACCTTTACAGGAGCAGATCGCCAGGTCTTTTCTCCTGCAGAGCTGCTGGCTAGGTTTGAACTGCCAACTTCTCTGTTAGCAGCCAAGTGCTTAACCACTGGGCCACGAGAGTTCCTTATAACAATACTACCTAGGTTACAGCGCTGTTGGGAAGAACACCATCAGTTAATGTCTGTGCAGTTCAGATGCGTAAAGTTAGAAAAGTGCCGGCCGACGGTTCAGTACTTCATACGTCGTGTTGCTGCTGTTAGCTGCTGTCAAGTCAACCCCCAACTCGTGGCGGCCCCACACACACTGGAACAAAATGCTGCCTTGTCCTGCCCCATCCCCATGTGGATCTGACCATCGTGATCCACAGGGTTTTTGGAAGTAGATCTCCAGGACTTTCTTCTTCGTCTGCCTTTAGTCTGGAAGCTCCGCTGAAACTTGCTCAGCAGCCTGGCAACGTGCAGGCCTCCCCTGGCAGACGGTTGGTGGCTGTGCACGAGGCGCACCGACCAGGAATTGAACCCGGGTCTCCTGCATGGGAGGCGAGAGTTCTACCACTGAATCGCCAACGTCCTCTTTGTAAGCATTAGCTGTTGTCATTATTAATTAAAACAAATCTCATCCATCAGCCATAGACAGGTGTAGGTTAAATCATAATGACTCTGCTCTGGAGGGTTTCTCATAGCTAAAGAAGTAGCCTTAGCTCCTTGTACTCAAAGAGTGGCCGTATGGGGCCTCTGGGAGGTTTCAGAAGTGCAGAGCCTCAGACCTGGGGAATTCGAGTCTGCATTTTAGCCCCATCTCCAGGTGACTGCCGAGCACACTGAGGTTGGGCCACCTGGACATGTGGTAGGGACGAGCCGAAAGCAGAACTGGTTGGTAACTCAGCTCTCTCCTGAACAGTGATGTTGTACTACTTGGGCTGAACTGTGGGGATGGTGGCGCGGGAGCGACTGCAGCCCCATGCACAGCAAGTAGCTGGCCCCGTGTGAATCCAATGGGAAGCTCTGTGCACGTGACCCTGAAAAGGGACTTCCGCACACAAGTGCCTGCTCCCGGGGAACAAGTCTGAGGTCCTGCAGCTACCCCGGCACGCTGGGGTGGGGGGAACAAGCACAAACACAACCCTTGGAAAAGGAGGTGGCGTCATCAGGAAATCTGCAAACGGTTTCCGAAAGGAATGTTAGGAGTGATCGCAGGGAAGCGGGGAGGCACTCACATTGACCCAGGGATGCTCCAGGACCTGCACGGCTGAAAATCGCTGATCAACATCCACCAGAAGCATCATGGTGATGAGCTCCTGGGAAGAAGCACACAAGACCCCATTTAGCTAACTTTTAAGGGGAAAAGTTGGGTGTTTTAAAATGCATATGTTCTCTTTCGGTTAGGAAAAGCATTTGTGAAAGTGTTGTTGCTGGTTGCCATTGAGGGGATTCTGACCAGGGCTTCAAATGGGTTCATTCTGGTTGGAACCCCTGCTGAGAATTTGCATTTCTAAAAAGTTCCCAGGCGATGCTAATGCGGCTGGTTAGGGACCACTTCTGAGAACCACTAGAAGATGCAGTGGTTCTCAAAATGTATCATACGTAAGAATCACCTGAGGATTGTTAAAATGTGGATTCTGACTCAGTATGTGGAACGAACCAGTTTGAAGCCCTGATTCTGACTCATGGCAACCCCATGCGTGTAGAGTAGAACTGTGCTCCACAGGGTTTTCAATGGCTGATTTTCCAGAAGTAGATTGCCAAGCCTTTCTTCTGAGGCATCTCTGGGTGAGTCTGAAACAGCAACCTTGTCGCAAGTAATCATTTGTGCCACCCAGGAAACCTTCTAAAAGCTCTAAACTTTCTTACATACATCTACTCATCCTGCCCGGGGCTACCTGTATACCTTTGGAAATTAAAGGGAAGGTGAACCCTGGGTTGACAGAAAAAGATGGAAAAATAAAATGAACTAATATTAAAATTAATTACTTAAAAAGAACACTTTTCAGTGGAAAGAAACAAATAATGTGTATTAAAGAACTAACATTCTTTTCCTTGTCTAGGATTTTGTACTTTAAGCAGATTGCTAAATTACTTTACATAGAAATTACATTTAAAATTTTTTTAAATTATACCTTCAGCTTTGCAGTTGAAAGGAAAAATGGATATTTTTCCCTCCTAACTGCAAGATGACACGCTTGGATTTGAAAGAAAGGACAGAGAAAAGGCAAACTTGTGATTTGCAAATAGAACTGTCAACAGAGACTGCTGTCTGGAGGTCAAAGAACTCTAAGGAAATGGGCTAAAACTGCTTAACAATCCCCAGGCCAATCCATACAAAGACAAAGGAATTTTTAACAGATAAATTACCGAATAGTTCTGAAATTAATGATATGTCGGGATGAGAACGAGTTGATTTGGACTATGAAATCGCAGTTTGGTGTTAGGGATGAGTTTGTCAAATCTGTCTACTTCACATTAGATGTTCCCCTGTTACAAAATTGCTCCATCTGTGCTAAGGGTTGAATTGTGTACCCCCAAAATATGTGCACGCATGTCCCTGCCTGTCTGCCTGCGAGGACACGTCCACCCCCTCCCAGCTGTGCACCCACGTCCCTGCCTGCCTGTGAGGACACGTCCGCCCCCTCCCAGCTGTGCACCCACGTCCCTGCCTGCCAGTGAGGACACGTCCACCCCCTCCCAGCTGTGCCCCCACGTCCCTGCCTGTGAGGACACGTCCACCCCCTCCCAGCTGTGCACCCACGTCCCTGCCTGTGAGGACACGTCCACCCCCTCCCAGCTGTGCACCCACGTCCCTGCCTGTGAGGACACGTCCGCCCCCTCCCAGCTGTGCACCCACGTCCCTGCCTGTGAGGACACGTCCACCCCCTCCCAGCTGTGCACCCACGTCCCTGCCTCTCTGTAGCTTTCCCCGGCACCTCTAAATGTCCCAGTTTCCTAAGTTTAGCAGCAGAGCAGTGGACGGCTAAAGGAAAGGAGAGACTGTGGCCCCATCTGCATCATCTCCTGTGAGAAGTGGCCAGCTCTCAGGAGCTGGGTTTTAAATGGATCTTCATATGCAGGACATGGCAAAGGAAAGGCGTTTATACTGCACAATCAAAAGGTAATTATTTCTTGACATCAAATTTTTAACAGTTTAAGCCAGCTCTTAGAGACATAGTTTAAAGGGGATCAATTGAAAGGTGTACCTTTTCCCCCCGAAGTCTATTAATGTCTAGGTGTGAGATGTTTTACAGTTTTCTTAGAGGGCAGTCTTCAGTCCAGGGGAACACAAGCCACATGCCTTATTCCTCCTGGTCTTTAAACCCTGGCGATCCTTCAGCGGTCAGCTTAAATCACAGCTTCCCAATGAAGTCTTCCTGATCATTTCAACCCACTCTGGGCTTTCTCTGTTTTGACCGATTGATTGATTCCCTCGTTCATTTATTTATCCAGTATACACAGGGCACCAGTTATGTCCTGATCACTGTTCTGGGTACTGGTGATACAACCATGAGCAAAGGAGACAAGGTCCTTACCCTCCTGGAACCTGCATTCTAGCGGGAAGAGACAGGAAGTATAAGCGCCTAACTGAGATCGTTCTTCCTGCTACGGCTGTGCATTTCTGGCTAAACCAGTTGCCCTGGAGTCGATTCTGCCTCGTGGAAACCCCACGTGCGTCAGAGTAGAACTGCACTCCGTAGGGTTTTCAGTGGCTGATTTTTCAGAAGTAGATCACCAGGCCTTTCTTCCAAGGTGCCTCCGGGTGGACCTGAAACTCCAACCTTTTGGTTAGCAGCTGATGGCGTTAACTGTTTGCACCATGCAGGGACTGCAGTAATCTAGACAGATCTACGGACAGATGGAGACAGCAGCCAGCTGGTATGTCACGTGGACATGAAGGTGTAAGTACTACTGTCGTTCTGTGCCATCAATTCCAATTCACAGTGACCTCACGTGACAAAGTAGAACTGCCCCACATGGTTTCCTAGCCTGTAAACTTTACGGGAGCGGATCACCAAGTCTTTCTCCTGTGGAGCCATTGGGTGGGTGTGAACAACCAGTCTTTCAGTGAGCAGCTGAGCGCTTACCCATTGCTCCACCAGGGCTCCTTGTAAGTACTATAGAGAAAACTAAAGCAGGCAAGGAGGGTGAGGATAGCTCGCAGGGTTTAAGAGCTGCAGTTTTAAACAGGGTGATCAGGGAAGACTTTCCTGAGCAGATGTCGTAAAGTAACACCTGGAAGAATGAAGGGGTGACGCAGGTGGAAATCTGGGGTTTCTCAGGCCTGGGATAGGCGAGGCACAGCCAGGAGCCACAGCAGGGGCAGAGGTGGTCGGGGGAAGAGGGCACTTGATCGATACTTGTTGGGATGGGCATGACAGATGACTCGCTGACTGAGAACACATTACAGCTAGAACGTATCCAGAAATCACACTTACGAGGGTTTTCGTCCCTTTGCACACAATGGTTTGGAATCAATAATCCCATTAAGACACTAGGATATAAGGATGAGGAAGGCTCTGGAAACCTACCTTGGCAGAATCGGAAACATTGTCCCAGTACGGAGAAGGGAAGTCCACTTGGCCCATCAAAATCTGGTCAAAAAGTACCTCCTGGTCGTCACCACTTCTGCGGAGATCAACAACAAGAAAAAGACAAGAAGAAACAAAACAGCACTGACTCGTCACCTCCATTTATGTCTGCTCATTCTTACGATTCTTACGGGTGGAAGACCCTTCCTCGTCCGGGGAACGTGTAACATGCGTGTGTTCAAGCAATGCCACGTGTTCAATCTGGAAGTGTTTTGGTCAATTAAGAAAGAACGAGCTTTTAAAACGATACTAGGGAGATGAATGGAAGGCGTGCAAATCAGCATGCACAATGTGGAAGAAAATCACAGCCATCACAAGCTAAGTTCTCATTGCGTTCTTATCCTGCAGCAGGCTCCTTTGTGCAAGAGGATGAACAGATCACTCAGAGAAAAGAGAAAGTGTTTGCTGGTGTTGATTAACAGATCACCGCCCGTACCCTCGGAACGGAGGGAAGCCACACAGCAGGATGTAGGTGATCACGCCAGCCGCCCAGATGTCCACCTTGAGGCCGTATCTGGAAAGTAAGTGGTATTAGAGTTAGCGACATCAGGCCGGGAAAAATAGATGACACTCCTATTCCAAAACAAAACCAAACCAAACAATAAAAAAACCCAACAACACACCCTAAACCAAAACTTAATGGTTAAACAGAGTTCAAGGGAAGAACTAAAAAAATAAAATAAAAATAAACATTAAAGAAATGCATGCCTAGGTCCATATCCAAATATGGCAAGGTGAAGGGTTTCAGAAAAAAAGGTTTATGACGTTGTTGTTGGATGCTGTGGAATAGAATCCGATTCACAGTGACCCCAAGTGGCAGAGCAGAACTGCCCCATAGGGTTTCCTAGGCTGTAATATTTACGGAAGCAGATCACCAGGTCTTTCTCTCACAGAGCTGCTGGTGGGTTTGAACCACAGACCTTTTGGTTAGTAACTGAGCACTTAACCACTGCATTACCAGAAAAAAAGTTTATTATAGTCACCTACATGTTGACTAGCTCCCTAATTGTATAAACAACAATGACATGTAGAATATTTTCCAATTTATAAAGCACTGAAATATGCTCTTATTCCCCTCCCCTCCCCCCAAAACCTTATAAGTTGGGCAGGACAATTGTCTATTTCACAGGAGGGAAAACTGAGGTTCAGAGTGGTGAGTAATTTCACCCAAGATCAGACAGTCAGCCAGTGGCAGAGCGGGGTGCCACCTGCAACTTCAAGAGCCAAACCCAATTCTCTTTCTGCTCCCTTCCAGCAGGTCCTCAGAGTAAGTCCAAGTAGAAAACCGTGGCTATGCCCAAGGCCATACTGTGTGAGGTAGGTCACTCAAATCTGATAAATAAAGTCCATGTGACCTCAAGGAGACCTGGCAGTACACTGGTTAAGCACTCTGCTGCTAACCAAAAGGTCAGCGGTTTGAAACCCCAGCCGTTCCCTGGGAGAAAGAAGTGGCAGTCTGCTTCCGTAAAGCTTCCAGCCTTGGAAGCCCTATGGGGGCAGTTCTACTCTGTCCTATAGGGTCACTATTAGTCAACAGCAACAGGTTACTGGAAGACTAAGAATTAAATTAAGCGAGCTTAACCAGACTACTTGCCCCACGTGTCAGAGTAGAACTGTGTTACATTCCAAGGCCTTCCAAGGTGCCTCTGGGTAGACTTGAACCTCCAATCTTTCAGTTAGCAACGGAGCACATTAATAGTTTGCACCACACAGCGACTCCTTAAGTGAGCCAACAGTAGGTCCTTAAGGAGCCCTGGTGGTGCCGTGGTTAAGCACTCAGTTGCTAACCAAAAGGTTGGCGGTTCGAACCCACCCAATGGCTCCATGGGAGAAAGACCTGGTGATCTGCTTCCATAAATATTACAGCCTTGAAACCCTATGGGGCAGTTTACTCTGTCACTTGGGGTCACTGTGACTCAGAATGGACTCCACGGCTTCCAGCAACGACAACGTAGTAGGCCCTTAGTCCCTCGTGGGGCAAATGGTTAACTCGCTTGGCTGCTGGCCAAAGGTTGGAGGTTTGAGTTCACCCAGAGGCTCCCCAGAAAGGAAGACCTGGCGATCTACTTCAAAACCCTACTCTGACACACATGGGGTCAGGATGAGTCAGAACCGACTCGATGGTGACTGAGAGCGGATAGTAGGTATTAAGCCACCCTCTCTCTCCTCGTTCTAGGGTGCACGTTCGCATTCCTCTGGTTCTGCTCACAGAAAGGAGCACACTCTCAGCGCCCTCTGACATCTGAAGGCATTTGTGCTCCACAGAAAAGTCAATGGGCCCTCAAGAGGGCCGCTAATGGGGGCGGGGATGGAGAAGAGAGCAGCCGAGAGCCGTGTCACCGCAAAGAGAAGGCGGCCGTCACCGCCAAAGGCAGTGTCTGTTTATCTCCAAAAGCGACTTAATCACCACTGCTGTGTGTTTCTGTTAGTAGGCACGTTTTTTACTCTGGGGTTAATAACTGCTGTTTTACCTTTAACAGAGGCCAGATGGAAGCCTTAAATAAGACTGTGGTAATTGGCAACTTGATTGGAAAAACAGAGAAAACGGCTCAACTGTAAAAGTTTAAAAAGAGAGAGAGAATGACTGCAACCTGGTAGCTGTTCTGTCTGATGGGACAGAGCAGCACCACTGTGGATACTTGCCTAGCAGGCTGGTTCTTTTTTAACTGCAGCTCTTAAGATAACCAGACGTAAGAGAAGTGCTCACCCAGTTTCAGCAATGATTTCTGGAGCCACGTATGTCGGGGTGCCACAGACCGTATACAGGGGCCCGTCCACAATGGTGGCCAATCCGAAGTCACCCAGCTTCAAAGACTTGCTGCCATCTTGGTGTTCGTACACCTAAGACAGAAGTGAAAAGCACACCGCCTTAAAGCCAAGGGCGCAACCGCTTTCTTATTTTTCTTTTTTTTAAATAATATTTGATTGTGTTTTTGGTGAAGGTTTACACAGCTGTTTAGGTTCCCATTTAACAATTTCTATGTAAATTGTTCAGTGACACTGGTTCCATTCTACACAATGCTTGAGCATTCTCATCACTTCCGTTCTGGTTGTTTTGTTTCCATTAATCTAGTTTCCCTGTCCCCTTACTTTCCCATCTTTGTTTTAAAGTAATTGTTGACCTTTTGGTCAAGAGCTCTCTTAAAAGAAACAAGGGGCATTGTGATGTGAATCTAATGAATTTTTAACATGAAGTAAAAAAAAAAAAAAAAAAAAAAATCAGAGAATTTTACCTGGTTCTGCTCACAGAAACGGGCAAATTCTCAGTGGCTGTCTGATGCCTAGTGGTATACATAAATGAATATCCTTTTTCTTCGTTGTTGTTATTAAGTGCTGTGGTATCGATTTCGATTCATATCAACTCCATGGGACAAAGTAGAACCGTCCCCACAGGATTTTCTAGGCTGTCTGATCCTGTAAAGATTATGGCTTAGGAAATCCTATGGGGCAGCTCTACTCTGTCACATGGGGTCACTCTGAGTCAGAATCGACTGGATGGCACCCTTTATGGGAGCAGATCACTACGTCTTTCTCCCAGGGAGCCACTGAGTGGGTTTGAACTGCCAACCTTGTGGTTATCAGCCAAGCAGGCTCCTTCTTTGGATCACTGCAATCTGGAGCAGGCTGAATAATTAGTAGGTGGCCATTTGTTAAAGAGCACAAGGCACATTCACGCCACGGGACGCTACGTGGCCCCTGAAATGGTGACGTGGATCTGTGCTCATTGAAATGAATTATTGTTGAGACATGAGAACAGCAGGTTGCAGATGGTCTGTATACAATGTTCATTAAAGAAAAAAAAATATACGCAAGGAAAAAAATCTAAAAGAACACAAAATGGTGGCGTGTTTGTCTCTGAGTGGTAGGATTATAGGAGATTTCTTTTTTCCTTTTGCTTCTCTATATTTGATGTTTTCTACAGTTAAAACTGACTAGCATAAAAAATGAAATGTAGAAGTTAACCAGTTTATGAAAATAATTACTTCTTCCTTCTAATATATGAGGCTTTTCAAATGCAGTTCATTAGTAATTGAACAAAAAATCTACACATATTCAAGTACTTTATCTTCACCGCCCCAAGTTTCCAACAAGATCGATTTACATTTTTTATGAATAACAGAAAGGGATATTAACATTTCATTTCACCTGTGGCGATTTGAAAAGATTTATCAGGCGTGGAGTCAGCGTTCTGTCCAGGCTTCCTTACTAAGGCCATAAAAGTCTCCAATCCTTTTACCCAACAAATCAAGGAAAGGATGTACGTTACTATGAGGAGGTATTTATACTCCTTAATTCGAGCCCAAGATCAAACCAAATGGATCTGCTCTTAAAAAAAAAAAGTATCCCAAATAACTTCTTTTATTTCAAAGGAAAGATCAAAGGGCACCCGGAATTTTGATTCACCGCCTTCTACTGGAATCAAAAGTAGAAAAAAGGAAGCTCCAGGAAAAGGCTAGTGTTTCCAGCAAGGCTAGTCTTCGGGAGGTGTCTCAAGGAGATGGCGGAGTTGACCACATACGTCAAAACAATTCACCAGCAGGCTGAGCCTTGTGATCCTGTCACTTCTTCAGCAGCTCAGCCCTCCTGCACAGCAAACCTCCTCTGCATACCCTAGAAGTGCCGCTACGGTCACACGCCAAGTCCACCTTCCTTCCCAAGAAGTGCGTTCATTTCTCCTTGCACGGCCGCGTACAGCGCAGATGCTCGGCCAGCTAAGCTGCAGTCTCAGCAATGAGCACTGGGATCTAACTGTCTGCAGAGGCACGCAGTGAGGGCCTTCTTCTGGAGACACTGTCTCTCTTCTGGACAGAAAATACTCTTCTTCATCTTCATAGCATGGACTGTTTGTCCGTCCTAATGTGTTGGCCACGATCAAGTTGGACTTGGGCAGAAATCCAGAGTTTGTGGGGTCATCTGCGTTTGCGACATTAGGAAGAAGGCAGCCACGTGTCCCTCACAGACCGCCTCAGCCAGCTGTCATCTGGGATGGACACTGTCCTTCCTACTGCACGAAGCAGCTGCTCAGCCCTGACCACCATAGACAGGTTTGGATATGGGACCTTGAGGCATATGTTACTGGTGTTAGGTGCTGCTGAGTTGATTCTGACTCACAGAGTAGAACTTCCCCATAGGGTTTCCAAGGCTGTAAATCATTATGGAACCTGACTGCCACTTCTTTCTCCCACGGAGCAGCTGGTGGGTTCAAACGGCTGACCCTTCAGTTAGCAGTCAAGCACTTAACCACTGCACCACCAGGGCTCCTCAGATGTTCTCAGGCACAAGAAATCCATGAATGCAGTCTTAGAAGTCAGCCGCTCTGGTCGGCCACTTGGCAAGCCAATGCTTTTCATGACGAGAAAACTGAGATGGGAACACCTAGTGGATCAGTCAGTTTATTTCCTAGACAGCAGAACTGTTTACTTCCTTCATCCCCCACCTGGTCTCCAGAAACCCTTACGGAATGCAAAATAACCCGCTCTGACGCTCTGCTAAGTCCAAACGGTCGTGGTGCCTGCTTCATAAGATGGTGTAGATTCTGATATATACATCCCCATTTATAATTTTTTAAATAAATTTTATGACTTTTTTTTTCTAAACAGAGTGTCTATATCACCTAACTACTCAAAGTTCGGCAAAAGCGGATGCTGTGGATCCAGTCACGGTTACGTCTTTGTCCTGAGCCTGACCGTGTAGTTCTCTTACCTGTAGTAAAGGTTTTATTTCGGAGCATATCCATTTTTAAAATAATTTATTTTACTTATTTTTGTTGTTGGTGGTGAAAATATACACCCCAGAATTACACCAATTCAATAATTTTTACATGTACAATTCAGCGACACTGGTAACATTCTTCCAAGTTGTGCAACTGTTCTCACCCTCCTTTTCCGAGTTGTTCCTCCCCCATTCACATGAACTCGCTGCCCCTAAGCTTCTCATCTGACACTGAGCATCTACATCTTAACAGGAGTTCCATCTAACATCCTCCATTCATAAGCCAACGTCAATTAGATTTACTTGAGCCATTTGGTTCAAAGCTTCAATCTCCACCGACGAGTCTAACTCATGGCTTCCCTAGAGGACTGAGAACTGTCCCCTGGGGTTTTCTAGGCTGTGATCTTTACAGGAGTAGACTGCTACATCTTTCTCCTGTGGAGCCACTGGGTGGGTTCGAACCGCCAACCTTTCAGTCAGCAGCCGAGCACTTTAACCCCTGTGCCCCCAGGGGTCCTTTTTCCTCCTCACAACCAGGGCTCACCACTCAAGTCTGCAGCAACCTACGCTGTGTTCACGCTCACGTCTTACTGAGCCAGTTACCGAGGGCGCGTGAGCCCATTTACAGATGTAATTAAAACTTTGTTAAAGTCACAGATTGTTAAATACATCTGCTTCACACATACACACACACACTGTCCCAAAACCGTCTCCCGATAGTTATTTTCTCAATGACAGCTATAAATCCTCTTGGAACTACGTTTTTAATTAAAAGTTAGACATCTGAAAAGCTTCTAACAAGTTCACGTTTAAAATGCTGAGTCCCTGCTTAAGCAGCCTTTGAACGGATCTGACTTTGCTTATTAGCATTCCTCCTCCTCCTGACCACCTCTGAGAAGAACCTGAGCAGGTTACCTGTACAGGTTTGGAGAGCTGACTCCTGCAAGTGGGTTCTGGGATAAGCAGAACTTTTTTTTTTTCCTAAATTTTATTTTGTTGTTGTTGTTGAGTGTAAGCAGACCTTTTGTGAAAACTGTATTTTAAACCCTTCATAAAGCATGAGAGGAGCCCGGGTGACACAGTGGTTAAGCTCTCGGCTGCTGACCGAAAGGTCGGGGGTTTGAACCCACCAGCCTCTCAGAGGGAGAAAGATGTCTCAGTCTGCTACCGCAAAGATTTACAGCTTTGGAAACCCTATGGGGCCGTTCTATCCTGTCCCACAGGGTCCCTATGAGTCGGAATTGACTCCATGGCAATGGGTTTTTATTTTATCTTATTGTTGTAGTTTAAGTAAGAGTTTACAATTCAAGTCAGTCTCTCATGCAAAAATTTATACATACATTGTTATGTGACCCTAATTGCTCTCCCCACACTGTGACAGCACACTCCTCCTTTCCACCCTTGATTTCCCGTGTCCATTCAACCAGCTCCTCACCCTCTCTACCTTCTCATCTCACCTCTGGACAGAAGCTGCTCATTTAGTCTCATGTATCTACTTGAGCTAAGAAGCACACTCTTCATGAGTATCATGTTATGTCCCACAGTCCAGTCCAATCCTTGTCTGAAG